TGGAGCGGGTTTTGGTAGATACCTCCGAATTCCGGTGGAGCAGGCGACTGGGCTGGAGATTCGTACGGCACGAATGAGTTTGAGAATGGATCATACTCTTTGTTCGGTGTCGGATGAAGCAGAGCTGTCGTGCTATCGATAGACAGCTGGCTTTTTGACCCATACGAACCATATCCAGACGGAAGAGAGGGAGAAGAATCGGCTGGATAATATTCTTTCGTTGCTGGATTAAGTAAAGCCGTCGTACTGTCGATGGAAAGATGGCTTCTCGAACCATACGAGCGATATCCAGACGAGAGAGAGGTCGAAGAATTATTTCTTACGTGCGAGGTCATCTCGGAAACATCGGCAAATGAGACGGCTAAATATATTAGTGAACGATATGATACAATATCAAAAGAGAGACACACCTTTTAGGATCCCTTTCTTTGGCACAGCGTTACGGTCGATGAAAGCGCTACCCCATCTAGCCTGGAACTCTCTGTCCGCCTCATCAGAAAGACTCGTCTTGCCCATTTGCTCCGTGATATCTTCAACGGTCTCTCCCTCAGAACTATCGTCCTCGGAATCATACTCGTGCTCGGAAACGGCAACGGCGTGAACCACAGTAGGCGCCTGTCGGGGAATGACCCGAACTACTTCGACCGGAGCGTTTGACACGGCACCGATTGAGGGGTATTCAACAGAAGATGCGACAGAAGACGCAGAACGTCTCTCAGCGTCCTTCTTGGCTTGTTCAGCTCGAGATCGGAGAGTGTGCTGGCGAGCAAGCTTGGCTGCGGGGGACAAACCAGCCAATGCTCTATCCTCGTCCTCAGGCTCGGCCGTCGCATGGGTGACAGTAGCAGCGGCAGGTTCGGCTTTGCCCTTCTTCTTCTTGTCTTTCTTCTTGGAACCATCTTTCTCCGGTAATCCTGCATCCTCGTCTTTGGGCTTTTCCTTGAAGATCTTCGAGATACCAGCAAGACTACAAAGTGTCAGCTAAAATCCTCGCGGTAGTGTTGACGTACCTATTTCGCCTGGCAATTCTCCCAATCGACCCCATCTTCCTGATCATCATGCTAGCAGAAGAAACTGTGGACGACAGTGAAATATTGTCCGTCGACATGTTCTTCATGCGGAACAGGCTTCGCTTGGATTTTTGATTGGTCATCTCGCTCGGAGCGGTAGCTGTGCGCTCAGTCTCTGCTAAACTGATCTGGGATCCCAGCGCCTGGGTATGCATGGCGAACGGCCTTGACGGGGCCTGCAGGTCTTGCGGAGGAGTCGTTGGCGGAGTTGCCGAGCGCGTCGAGGTCTCGGATGGGGATGCAAATGCTGGTTTGGAGACGGGAGAGGGAGTGACAATGGCTTTGACAGGTGAAGGGGTCGACGGGGGTGGTGTGGACTGTTTTTTGCTATCTTTCTTGAAGAATCTACCTTTCAGACCAGTCTTTGGCTTTTCGGGCTCGGGCGAAGGTGCGACGGTAGCTTGGGAGAGGGGAGAAGGGCGATTCGTAGTCTGGGGAGTATTGATGGCATTGGCGATGGGACCGGTGTGGAGCGGTTGAGGAACAGCCTTGATTGTCGGAGCGGGGGAAGCAGCCTTTGGTGGAGCGGGAGATCCTGTGCGTGTCACTACCACTTCTCGAACCTGCTCGCTAGCGACAGAGTCTTTCCTTTCTGCGGTATACGACGCGACACGCGGAGGTACAATCGACGAGACGCTGGAATCAACAGAAGATGAGCGGTTATGGTCTGAAGATGTCTGCGGAGTCTGGGTTGACGAGATAGAGCTCGAAGGTGATTTGTTGTCCAGCACGCTAGCGAGGTTCGGCTGGGATGTGGATCGCGGCATGTTTTCTCTGGAAGGTCGGTGAACCATGGCATGCTTGTACGGGTGAAATGACTGTGGCTGCTGCTGCGGCTGCTTGTTCGCGAGTTGAGATGGTTGCGCGACGTGGCCCGTCCAGCCTTGGTCGAACTGGTTCGATGCCTGCTGTGGTCCCAAGTTGTTTCGCTGTCGTTCGTCTTGATATTCGGTTGGTGATGCCGCTGGTGGAGTTCCTGGATTACTGGTGGACATGCTCGCCATCATCACATTCATGTGTTGGTATGCGTTTGCCCATGCCTGAAAATCTGCGTGACTTTGCTGGAAGCCTGCGTGGAAAACTGGGCCACCTTGATGATGCGGGTAGTATGGATTAGCGTAGAATGCTGACGCGGGGAGGGCCGTGGTGGACCAGCTCTGGGGTTGGAGGTTGTACATTCCTGGAGGTGCATGAGGTTGAGATGGGAAATACGAGTTGGCATTTGGGTTGAAAGGTTGTTGGTATGGTGAGGACGCGGAGGCGTTCGAAGAAGTACGCGAGTGCTGTGGGTGGGTTTGAGGAGATGATGCGCGATCGTACGTCGATGTGAAAGGAGGTGTGGAGCGGGCTCGAGCTTGCTCGAAGGAAGGAGTACGATCCATAGAGGGGCGAGGAGGTTGCATGGAGAGAACGGTAGCCATCTGAGTCATAGATCAGCGAGGGGCGACGGTCGGTGGCGTCAACGAGCGAAAGAGGAATTGGTCATACGTTGGGAGAGGAGAGTCAGGAGAAGACTCTATCGTGTCATATACTTAAAAGTGTCTTGAAGATGCGTTTCGAGGACCTCTAATAGTTGACAAGTAGTCTAGATATGGCGTATGAGTGTTGTTCAACTACAAAGCAAAGCATTCATGGCGAATTCGAGGCAAACAAGGAGGGAGAAAGGGGCAAATCGGTCAGAGGATAGGGAAGCAGAATCCGCAAAAAAAATGATGGCAGGGAGGGGGATATCGTGGAACAAGGGAAGAGATGGCGATACACTCGGGCCACCGTTCCCACAAGTCAGGCATAACCATCATAGACCCGACAGCTCAGACCACATGACCGTGCTACCCCCTTGCACACGACCACCAAAAGAAGGAAGAGTTTGGGAGCAGAGGCCGTACCTTTACTGGGCGCGTGCAATGTTTGAGCAGTACGAGATGGGGCCAAGGTCGGTCGATCGGGGTATCAAATCAACTCACCTGCTTGCCAAGTGTCTCTTTCTATCCTCGTCGTTTACAAGATGATCTCTTCTATGTTTGTAGTTGTAGTTTGTGTAGGGGAAGAGTTATTGATAACGCAAATGGGTGTTTTGTGGTTTGATTACAATGACGTGCCGAAATAAAGTTGATAAAGCAGGCGCGAGGCCGAGTAGACCGTGGGCTACCTTTGCCTTTGGTTAGAGAGAGAGAGAGGATTGACTGATGGGGTTTTTGTTTGTTGCTGTCACGCCGGGCACCCGGAGATCGTTGAAGCGTTGGCTATATTGCATGTAAGTCTAACGATGCGAAGATGACAAGAGAGTATGGTCTAAATCTATGCGACTGATACGTGAAAGAGACGAGTATCGGAGCGTCGCTAGGCTCGAGCACGAAGAACAAAGGTACACGAGGGGGATGAGATGGCACAAGGATCAAAGGGAGGGGAAAGGCGTGGAAAGGGTAAAGGGGGGCGCAGTCCATGCATTGATCGCTGACTGGCTGTTACTGTCCGCGCAAACCCAGATGGTGGGGATAACAAGATCAGATACACACTCAAAGACCTTGCTTATCGTCCCGACCATCAACAATCAACAATCAACAAGCATCAAGCATCAAGCAAAAGCAAACAAGACTAGATAACAAGCCTTCTCACTTGCAGCACAACAGATTTGAACCCAATAGACGCTCAAACGACAATCACAACGCAGGCGCCGCCCCAGAGTACTGACGAGAAGATGTACTCACAGATAAAAAGAGTTTCTTTTTCCCTCAACTGCCAAGGTTGTCTATCACTTCAATAAAGCTGATTATTGCTCATACCGCCTTCTACTGTCGTCTTCGTTTTCGTTTACGATTTACGTTTTCGTTCCCAAACAAAATCGCTACAATCTCTATCCTAGTCTTCTTGATCGTCCTCGTCCTCGTTGTCGTCTTGATTGTCGTCCTCGTTGTCGATATACAAGTATAAGTGTATAAGTATAACGTTGTTATCTACTTGTTGTCAAAAGAGCCGCCGACGTTGACTTGGTCCAGGGACTACTTTTACTACTCTACTTTGAATAGGGGGGTGCAGGGCAAGAGAAAGAGTCCGAGTTGATTATTCAACAAACCAAGGACAAGGCCGGCAGCAGAGCTAGCGCTAAACCCAAAATCCCTCGGTTTGTGCGTTCCGATAATCCGGTCCGACGATAGGTTTTCAACGTTTTCTTTTGAGATGTCAAAAGAATTAATCCTCTTTTCTGAGACTCAGCAAGTAGAATATAGTTCAGTAGAGTATACGGCACTACGATGTTGCTGATTCACTTGAAGAAAAGCTAGCTAGAGGAAGAGCAAAGATGTAGAACCAGAAACGTGCCACTAACGAATGTATGACTAAAAACAACACACCTAAAACCCTTGTTTCTCATATACTACTCGACCGTATACCGCAAAAGCCAAAAAAGCACAGCTTGCTTAATCTCCTAACCAGCTCACTGACGATGATGCCCTCTCTCTCCCTGATTTTAACCCATTTAACCCTACCGATGGATACAACCCTTGAACATCTGGGGTAAAGAAATATCGCCGCGTGGGGTTCTCATCCCTGAAACTTGTCAAAAAGATGATACGCGCATCCCGTTTCTGTGATTGCGCCGCAGCACCAGCAGCAGCTTCGTGGCGAATGATCACATCACTGAACCTTCACTTCATAAGCCAATGGTCGGATGTACATTTAATTCATACGCAGAGAAGGATCCCGATATCGCCTTGAAGAAAGAAATCAAAACATCCGCCCGGACAATCACCTCCTGATTGACCGTTAGACGACGGTGTGATAGTCCGATAAGAACAGAATTTGGCCCCAAGTGTACGAACGATCAATGACCCCTGTGGATTGGATGGATTGGGTACGTTGAACAACAAGTAAATTTGTTTCGTGATATCCTCAAATCTCAAAAACACACGAAAACCCGTTGAAACAAAAGAAGGGGCTCGCCGCGAGTCGAACGCGGGACCTTCTGCAATAAAGATGTCTACCCAAAGCAGACACGATAACCACTACGCTACGGGCCCAAGCTATAAGTCAGTCGACAGAGTAACATATCAATGGCTGCTTTTCCGCATTTTTTGCCCACATCAGTGTTGGTAATCCGCACTTCATAAATCCAGCACGCAAATGATCATCGCTGTCTCCACCTTCTATTTCAAGTAGATATAATACATCAAACATCGAATGATCTCATGGAATGATGCATCCGGATGACACCTATATATAACACGCTCAATCCCACTCGCCGTCCGATTCTTCCTCGTCGGAATCACCCAAATCGCCCTTGCGTCTGGCCAATGCCGCTGCCAGACTACTAGCAAGATCTGGCGAGTCTTCGGTAGCCGCAACAGCTGCTGCTGCCGCTCCACCTCCCGCGACCGCCGCCGGTGCCACACCACTACCAGCAAGTGGTGAGACGTGTTGCTCGTTCGGGTCGACCTTCTTGAGCTTGTGTAGGCCTGCGCCCTGGATGGACGCAAGGAGAGCTCCACGACCTGCACCAACGCCGGCAGGTGGGGCGGGAGGAGCGGGAGGAGCACGGCCGCCTGGGGGAGGTGGCGGAGGTGGAGGAGCGCCGCCTCGACCGCCTGGAGGAGGGGGAGGAGGGGGCGGCGGCGGTCCACCTCGGGACGGTCCAGGTGGTGCAGGTGGAGGAGGCGGCGGAGGAATGCTGGATGAAGCAGGTCGAGGAGTTGCTGGTGGCGGCGGTGGTGGAGGGACAGCCGCAGACAATGGTCGACCTGGTGGTGGGGGTGGAGGTGGAGGTGCTGAAGGCGCTGAGACAGATACAGATGCAGGTCGGGTTCTCGAGGAAGGCGGTGCTGGAGCTGGTTTTCTTCGTGATGTAGGAGCAGGTGGCGGAGGTGGCTTCTTTGGTGCAGTTGCCTGTGCGCCCACTTATCAGCAAGACTGCTATCTCGAAACTGGCAAGGGACGATTGCTCACCTTCTCGATTCCACCCTGTTGCTGCACAAAGTCCTTGATGAATTGCTCATTCTTTTCAATCTGCTTGGGACTGATCCCCTTCATACTGAGCTGTTCGAGCAAAGACTTCCAGCTGGGGTCCACACCGGACGACGAGAACCCTTTTTCGCTGTCGTAGCCCATGTGGGCGACATGCTTGAACGACCCAGCAGACTTGAATGATCAGCGCGACACGTCACTTGGGCTGGGCAGCAGGTCTCTAACATACGGGTCCTGAGATCAAGCTCTTATCGATCTTGCCACCCTTTGCTTTCTTTTTGGTCGGTGTGGACTTTTCGGCCTTTTCCTTCTTGTCCTCCTTTACTTTGGCTTGGAGATTCTGGTCAGCATATATTCGACCACGCACATATTTCTTGCAGCGCAAGAGGAGAAGCAATACTCACTGGCATATTTTGATCTGTTGGCGACTTTCTTGTAAAAGTCGTTGGCCTCACCCTCGGCGGGGAAGACAAATGCGATCTGGGTATCCTGTGCAATGTAAGTTTGGGAAAGACCATGATGGAGAACAGGTGGAGGGAACGAGGGGACGAGGGAATGAGGAACGAGGGAACGAGGGAACGAGGGAATGAGGAGGGAATTGAGGGGAGTGTGAGGATGAGAGATTGAACGGAATGGCAGGAGTTAAAGTAAGGAGAAGGACACGTACATCGCCTTGCCAGGTGTGGAAGAATGGTTTATCCTGATTGTATTCGATTTCATTGGGCAGTTCATGCTCCCAGATCACTCCGCGATAGGACTGTTTGTACATGTCAGCTCGGATGGCTACTTGCCATTCATCCATTATCGTCCATCTCATCCTGTTTGTCGACCGTTTCATTAAACTTCACCCCCGTTCTCTTCCTCGTTCTCATGCCTCTCAGTGTTCGTTCTCATTCAACTATGCCCTCTGGCTCATCGCTTCGCCGTTTCTTCACACTCCTTTCTCCATTGTCTTCTACGCCCTTCGGTTCATGTCTCTATTCCCTGCTCGCACATTGTCCTCTCCCTCTTGATTGCCTCATACAATCTCATTCAAACAGTCAACTCACCGAGAGATCGACGACCCGAAACCATAAACCTCCTTTCGCCTTATCGGCACAGAACACCAAAGCACCTTCAGCACCTGCATAGTTCCAACTACGAGAGATTGGAAAAGCAAAAGAGAATGTCAGCATCTGTATCTTTGTCTCACTTTTCTTATCCCATTGAACATCCATGTATGTCCAATCCCGTTGAACGTCTATGCCTTTCAACCTCTTGGAATCACCACCAGAATCACCACTACTACCACCACCACCACCACCATCACCACTACAAACACTACAACCACGACCAGGTAATCCAGGGGTATAAACGGAAACCAATACCCAAGAAACAGAAAACATACCTTCTTGATCCTTCTGAAGCTTGATAAACCCTAGCAACAGCAGCAGTGATGATCTTATTCGTAGAACTTGAAGTCGGTATAGCTTTCTTTACTTTGGCCTTATCATCAGACGATAAAGTCGATACTGACGGCATCTCGATTCTCGAATCGAAGTTCTATCCCCTTCCTCTTCTGCCTTATCAAGTTTTGGATTGATTTGTATCTACCGGATCGTTAAGGAAAAGAACAGCAAGAGATAGCTTGGAAAGAAGAGTAATTGCAATTGCATGCGTAAGTCACTCACTGACTGCTGCAGTGCTATGATGATGACGCGCGGACAATCAGTGTCCGGACGTGGCAAATTCAAACCCGTCCTCAGTGTCTCAATGACTTCCAGAAAAACTCAAGCGATGGCAAGGTGTGATACAGTGTATGTATAGCCAGAATCACGATGACAAAACATGATATGCATAATCAGAATCACGGTGACAAAACATGATATGCATAGCTGTTAAAACCATGAATGCTATGTATGCAAGTGATTCTCATCCCGGCTTCTAATCCTCCTCAATATCCATACTCTCCTCACCTCTCTGACCATTCAACCTCCTCTCACCTCCTTGAGCCTCCTCAGCTTGATACTCATCCTCCTCCTCCATATCCTCCTCCTCTTCCTCTGCCCTCGCCAAGCTCGCATCGTTCTCTTCTCCTCTTTCATCCCTGGATGATCCTGCCACACCAATCGGTCTTCTTCTCTCTCGTCTAGCAAGATCGCGTTCCGGCTGTCGTTGTGCGGTCTCGAAGCCCAGACCTACATTTCCAGCACTCACACCATCTGCGTCATCTAGACTAGGAGGGTCAGGTTCCACAGGGAGTGGTCCGAATGCGGAATTGCCCTTTAGTCCTTGGTCAGCACGCACCGCGGGATCAGGTCAAGTACCAGCTCGCTTACCTTGGGTACACTGAATGGATCTAGATCCTTCTGCGCAAGCACACCAGGTAAGCCTGGGAGAGTCGTCGGATCAAGGCACTCGGTCTGTTCCCGCAATGCCATCTCCAGCAAGACAGTCGCCATGGGGTCTTGTGGTCCAAGCGATAAAGCCTGGTGATACAGCTTGATTGCCGCTCGCACATTGCCGGTAAGCTGAGTGACCATGGCCAGGGACGACAGCGCAGTGGCATTTGCAGGCGACATTGATAAACACTGGGCATATGCCCTCCGAGCTTCTTCCAATTCACTGCGACATTAGTACATGTCAGAAAAGATATTGGTGGTGGCGTAGAAACATACCCCATGACGCGATGAGCATGGCCCAGATTACACCACGTTACCGCCCATGTACTTGCGACACCCTGCATCTCCCGTGCCAGGGAGATCGACCGCTTGAAGTACGTCACAGCGTTCTTGTAGCTGAACAAGTCAGCTTTAAAGGTCTCGTTCGCCGTTAAACACCTCACTCTTCCTTGTTGTATGCAATCACACCAAGCTCGTTGAGCAACAACGGATCGCTCGCGTTTATCGCCTCTGCCGCTCGAAAGTATTCTTCTGCTAGATCTGAAGCCGAAAGCTGAAGGTGCTCCATTCCAATGAACATGAGGGGCAAGTGGGAGCTGGCACAATCGTCAGCCCAGCTGCGGGTGGGTTTCCACGCAACTCACCCCTGAAAGAGCCTCGCCGAAGTCGAGTACGCCGTGATGGCGTGGTCGTGCTCCCCTTCATATGCAAAGCTATGCGCAAAGGCGATCCAAGCAGGCGCGAATCTGGAATCGATCAAGTTCGCCTTCCTATATATCATGAGTCGTCTGTTGCCCTTTCAGTATGAACGACATACGAAAAATACCGCCTGGCATCGCCCCAACGCTTGCCGGAGAAGTACCACAAGCCCACAGCATACCACGTCATTGCACTTTGTGGATCCTGCTCAACCAGATCGTGTGCCAACATAAATAGGCTTGATCGTAACCGATGAATGTGGTGCATGCATGCGAGGTGCAGGGGAAGGGCAGTGTCGTGCCCTGGAATACGGGCGAGGATCCTGCACTGTAAGCTCGGAAGAGTGCATCCTTCTCCTGGTGAGCTCACTTAGTCGTAACATTATAGCAGTCTTCCCAGCGATATTTGGCATACAGCTCATCGGCGAGTCCTACAAGAACATCGCAATTGTCGGACAAGGCGTATGTTGAGGACAATTCCTCCCTTGCGTGTTTGATCTCATGGATATGGGCATCCTAAAACATCAGTAACGGGAATCATCTCAGGGATTGAACATACCTTGTTCAGCTTGGTCAAGTACATGAGCTTGACGAAGCGTGATTCCTCCTCGCTCAATTGTTGCCGATATGCCAGATTATTCACAAATTCCCATTCTGATACTTAGCTATCTGGAGCAGAATCAAGATTGACTTACCCTCTTGTGCACTCATCATAGAGCCCTCTATCAATTCTCGAAACGCCTCGTAGTTCTTGACATCCAGCATCAAAGCTTCCATGAAGCTCTCTTTCGCTAGTGCAAGGGATGACAGGCGGAGGTGTAGCAGTCCTCGAAGATGACACATGGAAGAGTAGAGCTGTGCATAGGGTTAGGACGGATTCACTCTGGGAAAGTAGCCCACCTTGATACCCTCATCAGGACTTGGCTGCTTGATCGCCTCTGAGGAAGCTGGAGATCATCAGAGATAGGTTCACCCGGATAC